TTACGGTCATATCATGTCGAAATACCATTTCTTGTAGGATCACAGAAGTTAAGCAACGCTGAGCCTGGTCAATACCTGGATGGGTGACCGCTTGGGAATACCAGATGCTGTAAGCTTGGATGTGCAGGCGTTGTAATGGATGACGGCTCAGAATTAGAAATCGGAGAGCCGTGTTCCACTTCCACTCGGGTTCGTTATTTCCAACTTACGCTCAAATGCCCTTTGGAAAAGTATAAATCCACTTATTCTCCCCTATCTATGGGTTAATTTTTACGACTTGTATCAGTAAATCAGCTGCTGAGGTATAACTCTTTGGGTATATCTTTCTATACCAATTGATGCCAGATTAAATTTGGTAAGCCTTTTTGTTTTATTTTACGTGTTTTTTTTGTTTTGTTTTTTTTTTCGCTTTCTGTCTTCTTTTTCTTTTGTTGCTTAAGACCTATTGACGTCAGTAATAAAGTTACTTAAGATTTAGTCAAATTTGAGTACCGTTGATTTTAAACGAATTGTTGTACTTTATTATTCGTGTACCCTTCACGAATTGCTGTTAAAGTGTATTGACAATAAGCTCTCACCAATCTACAGTTGAACTTGCTAGATGCAATCTTAAGTTCTTCTGTCGCACTTCTCGCTTGTGGAACTCTCTTCTTGTTCCATGCTTTCCAGCCAACATTGATCTTCAAAAAATTAAATGCAATATCAATCGTTATCTACTGTCTTCTTGATTATTCTTCGTTTATTGTTCTCGATCCTTAATATTTCTATTTTTTCTTATTCTTTCATGCCCAGTAACCAATGTCCTTACTGCCTTATTTGGAATTAAATGATTCTAAAAAAATCCTTGATTTTCTTTATTTTTTAAAAAAACATCCTGACCCTTTTACGTTCCGTTATGCTGCAGCATGGAAAATTCGGGGAAAAGGAAGAGTCGGCTTTCCGTGTGTTATCAGAATCAACTCCCGAAAATTCTGTGAGCGCCGCTTTTGTGGGATAAACCAATTCACCCATCACGCTTACTACATTGTTTCTATCCATCTAAATAAGGTGTATTGAATTATATATGATTTCTGATATATTACTGTTGCTATTTTGAGTCTGAAGAGGATAACCCTAGAACACTAACCATCAATTAAAGTTACACCATTATTAACAATGGGTATATCATACCCGATTTTGAAAATATCAAAAAAATATTAAATATAAATGTTTATTTGAAATATTTTACATGCAGGCACTTCAAACTTTGTACTTTGAGTTAATATTAATAGAAACTGAAAAACATATTATTTAGGTAAGAAAATCAGGTACTGAAAATTGTAATTAAAAATAGGAATTTGCGCTGGGTACTATATACCCATGGTTAGTGTTCTAGGGTTAAAAACGTAGAAGGAAATAATTTTAAAATTTTAAAATTATATATAATAATCTATACATTACAGCCTAACCTGTTTGTTCACCCTTTCAAAGTTATGAGGGATAAAAGAATATCATTCAACTTGTTTCCTCGCAGATTACACTATTTTCCCTATATTATACGCAAAATGGAGTCTATCATCTTTTGCAAGCAGTTTTTTTTACTTCAATACAAATAATTAACATTTAACAGCTTTCTCCCTGGAAAAATCGTATTATTTTATGGTTCAACGCTAAGACTCCACAATTTAATAGCAAATCACTTGGATTGTTTATCATTTTTAAGTTAGTTCATTTTAGAAATAATTTAATTGTACGCCATTTTGTGTTCAATTGAGCGGGAAATCAAAAATCTCAATAACATCATACAGTGGCTATGCACTAGGGATTTTTTTTTTTAATTTTGCTTATTTATTTTTGTGTATTTTTTGAGTTTTTAAGGGAAACGTTAATCTAAACTCTCTGGCTACAATACATTGTTTCGAACAACTCGTAGTTACATACAGACAGACACACAAAATCGGGAATAAAGTTATATAGATTTTTAAAAATCCTGTCATATTCTGGCTATTTATTGATTCAGAAAAGAAGTGTAGTCTTTGCTTTAATGGTTGCCATATTGCGAAAATATTATCCTTATAAAGACGTGGTCTTGTTGCACATAATATTTCTACTGCTCATTCAGCATCTTGACACGTCCGAGTCGCATTAAGGGGTATTATCACTGTGCGACTGTTACCAGAGATACCCGCCGAAAATACCAAGAGCACAAATTCTAAGTGAAGATGAAAGTGTTTCAAGCAGCACCTAATCTGCTCAGTGCTGCATATTGTTCTATCCATCACCCAGTTACCCAGTGTCTTTGACTTTTTTCTCTTCAACCGTTACAATGCCTAACCCCATTCTGTCATTTAAGAAGACACACGAGATTTTAATTTGTATTCTTTCTGTCGCAATCTTCCTGTGTCACTCTGACCCATTAAGCAACCAAGGCAAAGTCTATTAGATTTCTTTCAAGGGTTTTCGATGGTATGTCTTTCTAGTGGTATGAAATTCAAGATCATGCTCCAGTTTCTGAACATTATATACTTTTTTTTATTATTCTGTAGCAGAAATTATTCTTTAACATCCTCAGAAATTCAGTTCATGTTTTAAAATAATGTTTTTTTAAGGGCTGTAGTTCAAATTACTATGAATTAGGCACGTTACCACGCCGTGATATTTTGTTCTAAAGTCAATTGTTATTGGGCTGGTGCATAATTATCAGGCGTTTTTGTGGGCGAGTTATTTGTTAATAAACATTGTTGTTTTGTTTACTTTTTTTAAATAATAAATATTATTTTATTTTCAGGTTATAAAAATGTGTGTCGATAATCATACGCTCAGGAATAATCATTTAAAAATTTTATTGTTGAATTGTTATGTTTTCTTTTTTCATAATAAATATTGTTTAAAAACGCCTGATGCACCAACCCAATATATTTGTCCATTGTCGTTTTAAGCTTCAATATATTTGCTTGTCTCATTTTCCAACGCTTTCCTTGGTGGCCATCTTTCTCTTTCTATAAGGGCATGCCATCCGAAATAGTCCACACTGATTGGTTAAAGTCCGAAGCGGTTTAAACTGAACGTTGATCGAATTCAAGATCTGAAAGTGATGTTAATAAATCCTTAGTATTCCTATTGCCTTCAACCCCGTAATGAAACTGAATACTTCATTAGCCATTGACTTTATAGGCAATATGAGGAGCTCAGTTTTTGTGTTGATACTGTTATGCTATTGAGATATGGTCATACCGGAGAGTCCTTAGAGTGCCATAGACGGCAAGACACATTAATAAGTCGATGCTAGATACACTCAGAACAAGGTGCGTATTGGAAGAGAGCAGATGACACTAAAGAAGCTCTGTTACTTTGGGTATTTTATGCGATGAGGTAGATTCAATAAGGACATTCTACTGGGCACAGTGGAGGCCAAGTGACGCCAGGGACAATCACCCATGTCTTGGTTTGAGGATATTAAGAGGTGGACTGGAATAATGGTAGCTGAGGCTGTAAGGGCAGCATCAGACAGAGATGGAGAGGAGTGGTGACCGCAGTGGCATAAAATGCGGTTACTGAATAAATGATGATGTATGGATATATATATATATATGCAAACAGTAAAATGGAATAAATAATACAGTTATATATCTGTCTGATTATTCTAGAATGAACACTTCTAATTCTTTCCAATCATTTCTGTCATCCATAGCTCTATCCAGTTCTTTTATGATTCCAATGTTATTTTTGAGCTGATAAATGAAGGTTCTTACTAGTCTACTTTTTGATGTTTTAACTTTGTTTTAATTCCAGTTGTAAAGGGTGTTTCATTAAGATGGATTATATATAAGGGTGTTTCATTAAGACGGATCAAAATCACCAGTAAATAAATCAGTGATATTGATGAAAATTTATTTATTTCTCTATTGGATCATGTTATTTAAGGTGGACTCGAATGACGGTGTCTGAGGCTGCCAGGGCGCCATCAAACAGAAAGAGATGGAGGGGGAATGGTGACCACAGCGGCGCAAACTGAATAAATGATGATGATGATGATGATGATGATGATGTTTTCCGGATTTTGTAAGCTTTTCTTTTGGCATTGTATAGGAAATAAATAGAATAGTAGAGGGTTCAAAAATGTATTTTCAATATAACTTCTTCATCAGGTAAGATATTCGAGGCTGTAAATTCGTTTATTCTTAAATAAATAAAAAACAATAACCATTTAGCATTTTATCCTATTGTTGTGACGTCAGTAAAAATCTATGAATGCTTTTTTTATTTGTTGACTAGTTCTGCGTATCATGACACTTCAGAACGTTGGCGAATATGGTTCTCCACAATATCCTGTCCTTTTCTAGATCTTAGTAAATGTTGCCTTTTTGCTATCTTTCCTTAACCCCGTTCTGCCACCCATGAACAGAAGCTCGTTAGGTAAGCTATTTGCTGTTATCCTCCATCCTTGTTGCCTCCAAGATGTCCCGAGTGTCGAACTTTCCAAGCCCTCTTTCCACATTATGCAAGCTAGAAATCTCAACTGTCTGAATCTGGTGTTAAGTATAAGTGTCCTTTTGTATCCATTTTCTCTAAAACTTCCTCATTGCTCACGTCTTCAGTCCATGGCACCCTCAGCATACTTCTTTAGAACGACATTTCTGTTGTTTCAAGTCTCTTCTTCATCTGTCCAGCATTTACTGTCATATACAAGTACGGAAATTACATAACAGTTCAGTATTCTTGTTGACGTACGTATAAAATAAATTCTCTTGTCACCGATTCAACGGGGAAATATGCCAAAATAGACTTCCAATGTTCGTTCGTATCCATGTATTTATCTTTCCTTGCGATTCTCATTCCATTTTACACACACACACACACACATATATATATATATATATATATGTGTGTGTGTGTGTGTGTGTGTGTGTGTGTGTGTGACGATCCGCTTAGGTGAAACCTTGGTAGGTTTGTCTGGCCCTCTAGGTTTAACTAGGTCTGCTTTACTTACCGTATTGAGCACTTTATTTAGTTATTTTGCTTACTCATATCGGTTTTTTTTTTGGGGGGGGCTTTGAACTTGGATGCTAGACGATTATTTTCGGCTGACGTCCATGTTCTTAATTCTTTCTTTTTTTATACCTTTTTTACCTTTG